GGTTTCACATATTTTTAGACTTTGTTTAGATATTAAGATTTATTTTGTAATCTGGCTTTTTACACCAAATAAACATTTTATTTATTTTATTTATTCTTGATAGGTCTATAGATAATTATATGTAGAACTTTACCACTTTGTAAGTTTGTCACGATTGTTTGTTTAAAGTGATAGTTGTAGAGGTATAAGTACTAAAATTGGTGAATTTCGTAAATCTATAGAAAATTATAACTCTTTTTTGTCCCTTTGGTGTAAATAAAGCATTATTGCGACTTTTGACTTCAGTGATATTGCAATAAAATCTCTATTAAAAAAAAATAAATTAAGAGCGATAATGAATAATTGAATACGTAGTTCGTTTGAAGCTCGTGCGTAATTACTCACTATACAAGCGGTCGTGACGCCGTCCACGAGCATACTGCGAGCCGCCTTTGTGTACAGCGGTCCACGTGCGAGCGGCTCCCAGCGAGCTCGTGCCTACGTACTCACTTGATACCGTATCTGATACATTACGTGCTACACTGCTAAGTGGGTACCCAGCTTAATGTTACACGTGTCTTATTTCCAGTGTAAAATAATAATTGTGATGTACAGTTTTGCAGCTGTTTGCTTCACAATTTTAGTTTTGGCAATTTACCATGTTAGAGAGAGGATCATCTCCATTTGTAGTAGTTTTCGCGTGCAGTAAGTTTATTGCACTAATAATACGTAGGCACTACAATACTATTGTATCATGACAGGTACTTACATCTAAATCCCTGTGATCCGATATCCTTAGAAGAATTTCTCTGATACATTCTTCAGGTAAGTCGTGAAGCTTCGGCACTACTTCTGGTCCCGGCTGGAAAAGATAAAAAAAATAGTTTCAATCTTCGTCAGTGGTCGCGAACGTGACTGACATAAAAGGATCTCGATTTCTAGGTAAGAAGGCAAAGATGGCAAAAAATCTTGGATTTTTGGAAATGAACTTATTAGTTGAGACAGTCGAAAAAGGCCTGATGTTTTTCATTTCCCGATGAAGAGCTTCTAAACAAGCTGAACAGATTTATCTGTGGTTTGGTGTATTGTACCTTTGTTAGGCTCTCGATTTAACTACGAGTGTTCGAACAAACGACCAGGCGCATTGAGTGCTTCAACCATTTGGAGCACTGCCAGAATGCCCTTAACAGAAAATAGCACTAAATGAGCGGTTCCCTGGCGTTCGGACAAGATAGATTGTCCAATTGCTGTCCAAAATAAAGCTTTCGTGCATTTTATCGCAAACCAAAGATATATGAGATTGCTGTAATGATGTTGTTTGGCAGGTTTTGATCGATGATAAGTTCGCAAAAAGGAAGGAAATACACAACAACGAGGATTAAGTATAGAAAAGTCAAAGGACACACATTAAGCTAATATTTTGCACAGCCAAGGAACCATTTAAACTGCGATGTCCAACCATAACGGTTGACTGACGGGAAACTGTCTTAGGCAAAGGAATCTCGTAAATTAACAGTCAACTGTAATGGGCTATGGACTAAACCTTAATCTTTAGACCTAAAGCGAAAACGTGAATGACATTTTTGAAACTATCGATTTATGAAACCTATCACACCACGCACACTATTATTCATGATCTGCAGTCAGCAGTAATAATAAATGGTATCTATCAGTGATTTATTAGTGACGTGTTCATTTGGCACATCTTCTGATTCGGGGTCGATATCATTGCATGTAGGTGCATTGCACTCTACAGTAATACTTATAATACTTATTCTGTTATTCATATCAATCAATTCGTCTGTATTTGTTCGTAAAATCGAATGCATGATAATGTAACTACTTAAAGAAACTTCTTCAATAGCTTTTCGACTTCATTCATCATCATTATCAGCATGATGACTACCAACTGTTGAACCCTAGGCCTTCCAAGGAGGGGTTCATTAATCCTTAAGGACAGGCCCTAGAAGGACTTGTTCTGGCCCTACTCCTGTGGGATAAAGGTCATCTGTTGGAGTTCTTACAATTACTGTTCTCATTCAGCCAAACATCTTGCTACGTGGAGACGTATTACAAGAGCGTACGACTGAGACGAAGAAGAAAAGGAGTTCTTATTGGAGGAAAGGACTCTTCTGACTACTAAACATGTACTACTAACCTCTTGTATCCTAATACTATTGGCGATGCGGTTGATCCTCGCGATGGCGTGGTCGTGGTGGCCCCACAGCGCTCGCGAGCCGAGCGGCCGGCCCCAACACGACCGCTTCTCCGATTCACGCGCAGATGACACAGACATCACGAGCGCGCGGAGAGCATTCAAGTTATGTTTTGATGTTGCCACTGAAATTAAGTCATTATTAGACATAGGATGAATTCGGAACACTTTTGATAGTCAAATGGTCAGTTGATGAGAGAGTTAAGTCAAATTGATCGTTTACAAAAAGGTCTGTCTGCTTATTTGCCTCTTATCCTAAAAAGTGGATACTTTTTAGGATAAGAGGATTTTACCGGCGGATGCCGGTAATGTCAAGTCCACGAGGGTTCTAATCTCCATGACATTCCGAGATTTTCTAAAATTAAAATAGTCGTAACTAATACATCAAGTTGACTCAAGTAAACTTAACTCGATACAAAAAAACTGAAGATTTAAAGACAGTTTAAAGATCACGGAGTCTCTCACCTTGATCAGCAAGTTGCTCCAACATGGACAGTAGCAGTTTCTGTGCAGCTCCAGGCAGGTGCGTGAGTCTCTGGCCGCCGACCAGCAGTTCTAGCAGAGCACAGATGTAGTTGAAGCGTCGGACATCACGCACTGCGGATGAGAAGTCCAGGCGACGCACCGCTTCCGATAGACCATTAAAACCTGCAATCTGGAGGAGTAATATAAAATGTTAGTTTTTATAATTTAAGGATCCTCTTATCTCGTTTGTATACGAGCGAATTATAAGACGAGAGCAAACAGCAAAGCTAAGCATAATCGAAAATGTATGAAAATATTTTCTTTCGGTACGGTGCAGAAGAAAAGCGTCCAGTCTTCTTAATGGACATTTGGACCGGTTAGATAGGCATCGAATTTTAGAGGTCCTTTAGGGAGACTGAGATTTTGCTGATGACCGTGAAAATGTATAAATCAACAAGCGCATTTTATTACATTTTAACTAAAAATTAACACTTTTAAACAACTGACTATAAAGACCATAATCCAGCTAAAGATTGAATCTATTATCTGCTTTATCTAAGACTCGGTAAATTTTCTGAACATACTGCTATAAGAAAAGCAATATCATGTTAATTTGGGGACACATAAAATAAAACGGAGTCTCTGATGCCGTGAAGAAATCTCATAAAAAAGTTATCAAATCAGTCCTTAAACCCTTGCTATCGTAAGCTATCGGTTATCAGTGAAGAGGGTTGGGAAGAAAAGGATTTATTAGAAGCAGGGGACCATATAGCGGAGTTGAGGGGTTTAGGATGTGGCCAGTATCTAATCAGAAAGCTTGCTGAAGTAAGCGTACATGGGACAGTTTTAGTAGGCTGTAATATCTTTGGTATATTATAAGCTAACCCTTATTGTAGCCCACTGTGGAATGATATGGACTGTTGATGTTGACGTAATTTAAAGGCACTCACCTCTCTGGTACATTTGATAGTGATGTGACAATGTGGAGGTATTCTGTTTACTCCATCTGAGCTCTTTTCACTTTCCTCACCGTCTGAAGACCTGTAAACATGGTAAAGGTATTAATTGGAAAGTTGTATATGAAAATAGTTCACTTAGAAGTAAAGATTGATTTTATTTGCATAAAACATACGATCTTCCAAAGGTGGTTAAGAATATTTGATAGTAAACTTCTATACCGGTTTGTAAGGGTGTATACACGCGTGTGTGAGTAAATCGCATAAGAAAATCAAATAGCACTTTAAACGTAAATCCTAATACAATCAGATCTAGTCACATACAAACACAATTTTCTTTCAGATATCAAACAAGGTTAACCTGTAGTATCTCCAATAATAAGGTAAATGTTATTTATTACTGAAATAGCCGAAGAGAATAGATGGACTGAAATAAAACGTGTATCCTCAATACATAATACGAGGACTTTGACATGTTTTTTTAGGGTTCCGAACAACAAAATTAGAAAGGAATCCTTGGAAGTAGGTGATTCTGGTGTTTGTTTAATGTAAAACCATAAGATACCGGATCTCAAATAGTGAAGGGAAACCGTAGTTATAGGACTTTTTTGTAAACTGAATAATTTGATGCTTAAATCTTCTAATAACTGAACCTTATTGGAGCTTTGAGAAAATAAACTGCAAAGTCAACGTAACGAAAAGATATGGCTTTTAAATGTAGTAGTTATATTCTGAATTTTTATAAGAGGATCAATACCAATCGTACCGTTGACCTAGAACCATGAAATTAGTACAAAGCGCAGTTAATGTAAATAAACGCAGAATCCACGAGGACCGTATGCGATTTCTACATGATGGACAACTTTTTTAGATTACAAGGACCAACAAAAATAGCAAGAGGGTTCCAAAATATTTTCCAAGCAAAATAGGTCGTTACTAGTTCGTTAAGCGTGACCCATATATCATGTCCAGTGTTATAGACCGATGACCGCGATGATGATAAGTCGATATCGGGATCTCATTAGAGTGGCCGGTAGCATCGTTCACAGTGCCTTTGTATTCGCTTTGCATAAAACGTTGCGATGTACACTTTAAATCCGGATTAATGCATGTTTGACCTGTTCTAGTCTGATATGGATTATTTTTTATGTAGGATCATTTGGGACTAAATCTTTGATTTAGTGGTTATAATTAGAAGTCACATACTGACAAGTACTGCTGAGAACAATATTCTAGAGCATAATTAGCTTTACACAGAATCAGCACAGAGGACGAATTGATTTTTGACCGAGTTTATTCTGCTATGAGGAACTTAAATTACATGGCGAGTGTTCGTTTAAAACTAAGCTTAAACTTCTTTATAAAATGAATACAGTACCAATTTGCATAACAAAATTGGTTTTCAATTTCAGCATCGAAACTAATTTACCTCAGCAAATGTGAAAACTGTGTAAAACAACCAATATCATAGTACTGCTCATGCAAAAACAATTACGCTAGAGAAGCAGCACTTCGCTACCGTAATTGACTATCTAATAACTATATCTCCATGGATTAATGGCGGTTTTATCGAGCACAGCTATCGTAAATTCTTTTTATTACAAACACATTTTTACGTTGACCATTAGAAAGTTCGTTTACGTCAGAAAAGGCAAATGTTGTGTAAGAAAAATTGTATGGACGTGGCATGGAGTAGGTACAAAAAAGCTTTTCTCTGTTACATACTTAGGCATATTCCGACTACATGTAATGTAGACTCCGTGATATGACAAGAAGTTTCTCAAAATCAGAAAGACAAACTTCTTGTTGAACTGTGGGATCCTCCTTGCGTCTATTCAACCAACGGACTAATCGAAAAATCAAAAGGCGCTTTAAATATTCCCAAACATAAAGATAGTCTAGTAACATAATTTACTTTAGGTAGACTGTTGAAGTAGTAAAATTACTGAAATAACTCACGCTAAAATGTTGCTTATGTCCGAGGTAAACGCTCATAAAGTTTCGTAACATCTAACTGCTGTTTTGACTTGGTTAACGCGATACTTGATGCAAATCTTCACCTCCATAAAGTGTCGAGTTTATGCGCATATTCGAGTGGTGACAATAATTACAAAACTTGAGAGTGGGGGTTGTGTGGTTGTGTATATGAAGTATGGGTATGTATCATCACGCTCTCTGCACTTAAGGGGAACGACACTAACGAGGGGGTGTTACTTAAGACTTGATACAAACATGTCGTGCTGTTACGTAAATGGCTGCTGTGGGTACTGTAGAAGCTTTTCATATAATGTCTTCCCTACTAGCGATATTGTCTTGTATATTTTTGCAATCATAACTTGCCTATTTTTTAATATTTACGAATCTAATATTCAATTCTACAAGGTGTTGTTTTAAAGCCGCGTCATTTTCTAGGAGGTAACTCGGCTATAGATTCTGGGTCCGAATCAATAAAAAAAATTGTAGGTAAATATTTTTCATTTTTATGTAAATTACGGAAATCTGTAAGTGCGAACTGCACGCCGCCCCGTCATGTAACTAGTTTTATAACGCGGCTTAACACACACAATCTCGAACACGTAATTGATATTATTCCTAATTCCATAAAACTCCAATAAGAAACATTGCTGTCGCTTATTCTGAAATACTTTCGAACTTGAAACGGTTTATTATAGCCATATTTTTAACTATTGGCCCGAAACTTTCTCTTACATTGAACCTTCATGACTTCTGTGACATGCCCCCGAGAAATGCCACGGTTTCAAAACTACACTTTTGTATAATTTAGACAGATTAATTGTAATTTGCTACTTAATCAAATAAGTTAATGTTTAGAAAATGCTCCAGGATCTTCATCTAAGCTTGCACTTCCAATCACTAAATCTCTAAACACTTCAATTTGTAACACGTCGTTGTGATTTCTCTTCAGACTGAAAACGCTCATACGAATCCAATTTTCGATAGCAATCAGCGCACGCTACGAAATTGTTATAATTTATTGTTTTACAACATGCAGAAGACATTATCGTATCATATTGACGAGATTATTAATTAAATAATTATAACGTAAATATGATACCTATTAGAATATTATTTTAAAGTTGTATTGACTAGTTTAGCGATTATGACGTGGATGAGGTTGAATGCCACGTATAGTAAACCTCCGACATTGCTCAGAAACGGAGCGAAACCAAGAGAAGTTTCCACCCTATTTGTCTTTCTGAAGTCACTGAGTCTCTCTAGAGTCACTGATAATTTTGTAGATAACTAAAACCGCGGGTTACTTACGTGAATATACTGAGTAGGCTGCGCGACATCGCCGCGACCGCGCACGCTCCTCATCAGGAAGAACCCCTTTGTGGTTCGGAACTAGTAGAGCTGTTCTCAGTATATTCGCGTGAGTAACTCGCGATTTTTAGTCAATTTCTCACGATAGTTATTATAAAAACATGCTTGTACTTTGTCGCGGAGAACCTAACGGGTTACCGGGGCTCCGGCTCGTCGTGCAGGAGAAGGAACGGGGTGGTGAGGCGGGAGCAGTCATTCGATGATACATTGGGAATATTTGGCATTTTTTACTTACAGTTGTGTCTTGTATCACGCAAAATTGCAGTAAGGAAGCTGTCTTAAGATTTAAAACGCAATGATGCAATAATGAACATATAAGGCAATAAATCGTCTTACACAATACGTGCATAATATATTATGTAGACAGTTACAAGTATAACGGATACAAACACTTCACAGTTTGAAGTCTCCATCATAGTATCATCATGATCTTTTACATTTTCCATGAGACCGCCGCCTTTACGTTCGACACTAAGGACCATTTTAAAAGACCTCTCTAAATCCTTTCAGTTGCATCTTTGGGTAATGATGGTGGATGAAAGAAAGCGGGGAGGGGATCAAGTGATAATGGTCGCGGTTGAATGGCAGTGCATAGTGGAGGTCGTTGACGTGGGATCAGGAGATTCGCATTAATATCAAAGATGTAAGGTTGCCGTCTTGTGCTGCAGTAACAGTGAATTTGTAGTACTTAATTTAAAGTTGTTTGTAAACATGAGCAAGTCCTGGACTTTGTAGAAGAGAATGGACATACAGCGGTATTTTATAACACCGAACGATAAGTGTGGGAGAGTCATGCTTTGGCACGAATGGGCCGGCTCGACCGGAGTGATACAACGGCCTCACAGAAAACCGACGTGAAGCAACGCTTGCGTTGTGTTTCGTCGTGTGAGTGAGGTTACCGGAGGCCCAATTACCCTTTCGTCGTGTGAGTGAGCCCAATTACCCTTCCCCAATCTCTCCAATCCCTGAATCCCCAACGATCCTCAAACTCCTAATCCCCAAAACGCCGGTAACGCACTTTTAACGCCTTTGGTGTTCCAGGTGTCTATGGGCGACGCCGATTGCTTACCATCAGGTGATCCGTTTGCTCGTTTACCGGCTTATGCCATAAAAAAAAACACCGGTATACCAGAGAGTTGCGTACGATTACTAGAAGATTCAGAATTAATATGCTTACTTTTATCTAAATGCTATGTCCTAGTTGAAATGACACGTAAAAATATTTGATGTACACATAAGAGATATGAATGGCCGACGGATTGCAGAATGTAGGTTACTCGATGAGCATTCAAGATAGGATTCGAGATTATTCTCAGAACTGCGTCTTGTTCATTCATACTTAGACTGAATAACACTAAATAGAGTACTTACATTAAATGGGAAGACTAAAAATATTTATTAACTTATAACAATTTTATAATTCCGTAATCTTATAGTTTTTTCATCTTCGGCGAATCTAACAGTTAGCTACATGTTCTGTGTCAGTATGAATTGACGTATACAATAAACGATTTGTATGTACAAATAAGAAATAAGAGAATGTAACCAAAAATTGTACTGTGAACATGATTGAAAAAGTAACCTATGGAGTTTCTTGCTCGTTCTTCTCCATAGGAATCTACACTTTGAAACGTTGCTCGTTTCAAAGTGTATAGCTTCACTAGAGGGCTGACCTACAGACTGAAATTTTTTTCTTAATACTTAATATTGAAATATTTTGTTTTGACGTTCAAAAGAGCC